AATTTGTACACTTGTAGAACTCCCCAAGACGCTCAAAATTTACAATTAATGTCATAGTGCAAGTATCACAGGAAGTCAGCCATTTTTGATTGAAGTTCCCATTTTGACCCCATTTTTGCCGATTTTTGCCGTTTACAGCCTTTGTATTTGATCTATCTCCTCCTAGGGATTTTGATTGATCGACTTCAAACTCGGTCAGTCTGTTCATAAGGCATGTCTTATCTAAAGTTATCTAAACGGTGAGTTTTTGAGTATGCTGAAGGGGGGTTAGCAGGGGTCAAAGTTCACCTACTCGTCATAAAAAAAATAAACTGCTATATCTCTTACACAGAAACTCACAGAAGCATCAAAGTTTCTGTGATTGATCATCATCGGGTCTTCTACAATACCCTATGGTCGAATGATGACATCACTTAGGCCACGCCCCCTGAGAACAGGAAGTGTAATGTTTTACTGTGAACTGTCGCTATCTGACCCCTTTGACCTCATCAACATGAAACTGTGCCCAGACACAGAGAACATGTTGGTGTATTGAGGATTCCAACCCGACCAGCTTCGATGGAGCAGGCGGGGTGGTGGCGTGGCGAAGTCACCTGTAACGCCATCGCCATACGTTTGGCTCTCAATTCCACATTTTCGGGCCCAGCTGCTGCAAACTCATAAGGATGGACCCTCATCCACTCCCCAACAGGAATCCATCACAATATTTGGGGGCGTAGCCTAATTTCTCTATAGCGCCCCCTAGAAAACTTTAAATGATCAGCCCCAAGCCATGCTTTAACCTACAAATACAAAACTTTGTACACATGTGTACCTTGTCAGGACGTACAAAAAAGTCTCTGGAGCCATGGTCTAAACCCACAGGAAGTCAGCCATTTTGGATTCAAGTTCGGTTTTGACCCCATTTTTGCCGTTTACAGCCTTCATATTTGATCTATCTCCTCCTGGGGATTTCGATTGATCGGCTTCAACTCGGTCAGTCTGTTCATAAGGCATGTCTCATCTAAAGTTATCTAAACGGTGAGTTTTTGAGTATGCTGAAGGGGGGTTAGCAGGGGTCAAGTTCACCTACTCGCCGTAAAAATAAACTGCTATATCTCCTACACAGAAACTCACAGAGGCACCAAAGTTTCTGTGATTGATCATCATCGGGTCTTCTACAATACCCTATGGTCGAATGATGACCTCACTTAGGCCACGCCCCTGAGAACAGGAAGTGTAATGTTTACTGTGAACTGTCGCTATCTGACCCCTTTGACCTCATCAACATGAAACTGTGCCCAGACACAGAAGACATGTGGTGTCTTGAGGATTCCAACCCCGACCAGCTACGATGGAGCAGGTGGGCGTGGTGGCGTGGCGAAGTGACCTGTAACGCCATCGCCATACGTTTGGCTCTCAATTCCACATTTCGGACCAGCTGCTGCAAACTCACAAGGATGAATATTTATCACTCCCCGACTAGAATCCATCACAATCTTTGGTGGGCGTAGCCTAATTTCTCTATAGCGCCCCCTAGAAAACTTTAAATGATCAGCCCCAAGCCATGCTTTAACCTACAATTACGAAACTTTGTACACATGTGTACCTTGTCAGGACGTACAAAAAAGTCTCTTGGAGCCATGGTCTAACCCCAAAGGAAGTCGGCATTTTGGATTCAAGTTCGGTTTTTGACCCCATTTTTGCCGTTTGCAGCCTTTGTATTTGATCTATCTCCTCCTAGGGATTTCGATTGATCGGCTTCAAACTCGGTCAGTCTGTTCATAAGGCATGTCTCATCTAAAGTTATCTAAACGGTGAGTTTTTCAGTAAGCTGAAGGGGGTTACAGGGTCAAGTTCACCCTACTCGCCGTAAAAAAATAAACTGTTATATCTCCTACACAGAAAACTCACACAGGTACCAAAATTACTGTTGTTGATCATCATCGGGTCTACTACAATACCCTATGGTCAAATGATGACATCACTTAGGCACGCCCCCTGAGAACAGGAAGTGTCATGTTTTACTGTCAATGGTCGCTATCTGACCCCTTGACTCATCAACATGAAACTGTGCCCAGTCACAGAAGACATGTTTGTGTATTGAGGATTCCAACCCCGACCAGCTTCGATGGAGCAGGTGGCGTGGCGGCGTGGCGAAGTGACCTGTAACGCCATTGCCATACGTTTGGCTCTCAATTTTATTTTTAAAGTTTTTTTTTTTTTTAATAATTTTGTTTTGTGGGTTAGAGTACAAACATTCATTAATTTTGGCTAGAAATAATACAAACATCGTCATTCAGCAAAACCTTTATTGTGTTACTCAGCTCCGCTGAGTAACACATTCTGGTCAGTGTTGATGGAGTACGACTGGCCCCTGGTGGCGCAATACTGGTACTGCTGGCGCAATACCATTATTGCGCCAGCAGGAGTCACTGGTACTCCATCAATGAGAAAACAAATCAAGTTCGGTTTTTTTCGGACGGCCGTGAAAACGTTTCCAGCGCGTCTGCCGTGAGATTTCCAAAAGGACAGCGATTACATTTAACCTGAAATGTTATATGTAAGCCCTAAGATAATTTTTGTTGGCTTAAAACACGGAGTAAATGTAGCGTTTTGTTAATGACTGTTATTTCCTACCGCCAGTAAATGCATCATTTCCCTCGTCTCTGCCTTAATGGCCAGTCAAGGGCAAAAACAAATTTAAGCAATTTGATTGGTTGAGAAGGACTGCACGTACTGTAGCTGTGCTAATACTTACTGTACGTACTGGCAGTCCGCAGGAGATCGTACATGGTTGAGGTTCGGCGCATTACGCTGTGGACTGTACATTTTTTTTGCTAAACTGTTGGAGCAGCTAAGTTTTCCTGAACATTATGCCTGGTTTATGGAGCCACAGAACCGGACCACGCTAACGTTTGCTTCGGTTTTGGAGCTGCAGACCCGACGCTCATGAGCCGGAACTGTCTGTTGGAGAGGAGTTTTATTGCCGTTCGTCTTAAAAGTGGTAACTGGAGATGCGGTGAGTGAAGCTCAGTTCACACTACACGATTTTAGAAAAGTCGGCCAATTCTGAAAACGTGAGAGAACACACACTAGCCTATTTAAAATCGTAGGTGTAACGGGTTCGTTCTAAGAGTGTGAGGTTTCACTCGAACACATTCTAATACCAGCTACGAAATACCTTCAAATTAAAATTCTGCACTACCACAGCTGAATTTGGAGTAAACAAACAAACATGGACAACGACGTTGAAGTGGTAACTTTAGTTTGCGGACTTATTTTAACCCAAAAAAGACGTAACCAAAAATCAAAGCTTTGGATTAAGAACTGGAGATATCGTAAGCAAGGATTATATTTGTTGCATCGCAACATGGAGGTGAGTTTTTTTTTTATAAAAAATACTGTTTTCAATGTTTTTAGAAAATCAAATGGGAGTTATCCTTTCTCCCCAACTGACCGCGAAAGCTTATTCCAGCTCCTTTAATTGAAACTTATTATATTGTTTAAAATTGTATTATGACTGCAGAATAAAATCAAATGCGCCATTTCAACCAAAGATTGGAATGTGCTTCTCAACCAGATGTACTCTGTGCAATAATTTTATAATTATCTTTCATTAAAAGATAAAAAAAAAAGTCGGAGGAACACCACAGAGATTGGATGAATGAGCAAAGATGATTAAAGACAGTCAATATCCCGATTTTAGATCAAAGCGGTCCCGACGTTCCACCGACTGGACCCGATCAGTCGTAACACACCACACACTACAGGATGATCGGTTACGATTGTTGAGAGCGACAATCTTACAACGTTCTGAGTTCTTAAGACTGATACATTGGGGTTGTAATATTTACTTGGACCACTTGCTGTGATTAATACCTAATTATTGAGAGAGATTAAACCTGTGCTTTTGTTCTAATGTACTGAAAGTTAACTGTGCTCTCTGAATGTGCATTGCCCTTGGTTTATTACTGATCAGAAGGGTTTATTAAACTGATACATCTTAACCTTTACCATTTTCCTGACTCATTTTAGGAAAATGTTAAAGTTGCACTGCATTTAGATCTCAGTTGCAGTTAACATCAAAGCATGTGGGTGTGGCTTAGTGTAAAACTTTCACTATTTGCCATGAAACATAAACATTAAAAAACTTCCAAATGCAAGATCACAGCTGCATCACACTTCCCGTGTTTCTCTATAGAACAATCCTGAACACATTTCCATGGTCACTTGATGAAATCACCCTAGCCCCGCCCACTTTTCAAAGGCAATCACCAGTTTTTTCTCCTGTGAGTTTTACTGTTATTCTATCATATATATGGGTTTCATCATGTGAATACTGACTTAAAACGACAAGATGATGAACTCTGTGAATGCTGGCTGCTGACCAAACCGCATTGGGGTGTAGAAATGGCGAACTGCAGTTCTTCACCATGTGCATATAATAGGCTCTAAATGATACGTTGATCATCCGACTGGCGCCAAATTGGATATGTATGACCTTTGTTGACCTCTAAACACCCCAACAACATTGAAATGTATTTTGACTCCACTGCGCCAACTACATTAATACACCAGCTATATCTCCTCGCTATATCAATGAATCTGCACCACATTTTTTGTGCGTCGTCAGGAAGTGCCGCCGAATGCATCGATGCGTACCGCCTGGTGGACGGGCGCGGAAACCGCGCAACGACTTCTGTGTTAGAACGTGGGGAGCGTTAATGGAAACGGAGCAACAGTTTCCGCGGTGCGGGCGGAGGTGCTGAAAACTGCTGAGAGTATCTGTGGTGGCTGGCGTCGGGCGGCGGTTGCTAGTACCCTGCGGTGGCAATAGGCCGGAGCGGCGCTTGGCTGCGAGGGCCGCTCGAGGCTGCTTGCAGCTTAATTAGTATTTTGTGTTTCCTCATTTAAAAACGAGTATTTGTTAACATAAGAATTTATGCTTTTATTTTGAAAGGGTTTTAAACGGAAGAGTGGTGAAGTGTGACGCCAACGTTAGACAATTAACTGACAATTAACTGCTGGTCATCGGGCAGAAAGAGAGAGCGCTCAGGTTGGAGTAAAGCTAATAAAGGTGTGGTTCAGATTAGGGTGTAGACAGTCAGTTGGTTGGCGCTTGGTTGATGGGGAACAAGGTGAGAGTTTTTAATATGTAAATATATATTTAGTTTTACTGTAAAATGTGTAATTTGCTTTGGGTGTGACGGTTGTGTTATTATACGGCACTAATATTCGTTGATTAACCGTTAATAGTTAATTTGTTGCACTTTATGACAGGTTTAATTACAGAATGTAAGAAAAATGATTTATATGTTAAAGTAAAATGTGAAAACAACACTGTTTGAGTTATTAATGTATTTTATTTGTATGTTCTGTAGCTCTTACGGTGTGTTCACATAAAAAGGCATTAAATAAACGTTGTGAACCATCAGTTTGAGAGACCATCCATTCAACCGGGACGCTACAGTCAGAACTCAAGATGTCAGAATTGATTTCATTGGATTTATTTCCATCGCTTCTTAAAACCAGGCAACAAGATTCAATTAAACAGTGTCACTGCTTTTAAATAGTTTTCTATTGTTTTACACTTGTGCATATGTATCAATTGGTTTTATTTTGTAACCAGGTTGCTGTGTGTTGCAGACTTCTGCCCAGGTCCCTCTTGAAAATGAGATCCAGATCTCAACCGGGTTTACCTGGATAAATAAAGAAAATAAAATCAAAAACAAAAACGGGAAAAACAGTTGCCCATTTAGTCTCCTCGTGACTCTTGTCGTATTTCAGTTTTTTTTTTTCTTGAAATAGTTTATATAAAAAAAGACAAAATATTGTCTCATGCTCTTCAAGGGAGGATTTATTTTCCAAAAATCTCATGTTAATATCTCTTTTTCTTATTTTATCTTTTATAAACTTTATTTATTACAATAAGCAACCATACAATTGTACTGTGGATATAACACAAAAATACAATAATAATAATTTACTAGGGGGAGCATAAAATAGAGCATGAAGACAAGAAAATTATAGTCAAAATAAATATGCATGAAGCATGTTAGTATCTCTCATGTACAAAATGAAACACTACATTTACGCATGTATTGCGTGTGAGATGTAAATATTTAGTTTTACTTGGTGTTTGGTTGAGAAGTTTGCTCTGCTTAGCCAATCAGACAGACGGGCAAGTGTGAGGACCCATAGCTGCCTTTTCTTTCTGCCCGAATGTAATAAAGCGATAACCAGCTTAAAATAGATTAATCTGTAGATTTTATAAATTTTTCTTGTAAAAATATTTAGTTGATATGTAATTTAGGTGAAGATATGTATATTGTTTCATACTATGTTACCGATTGTAAACATTTTTTCACAGGCATTGAAAGAGAAAGTCTGTATCGGGCTTCGATCACCCTCCCGTTGACATTTCTTACCAAACTTCGCTTGTAAGCACAACATGTTGGCGCTAGAGTGATGAGGTAACGAAGCAAAACAGAATACTGTAATTTCTAAAAGCTAGAAAGTTTTCTGGGGCCACAGAGAGGATGTCTCAGCTGCTAAGACTTCTCTCGGCGGCTGTTTTGCCTCTCTGCCGGGCCAGAGGAGCCCGAGGTCGCACACTGGGTTCAGTTAGCTTCGCGGTTCGGGTAGGTAACTGCTGACTGTTTCTCATTCTCTGCTGTCAACATCACTGTGACCCTTTCAGGGACGCTTCAGGAGTTGCATAGACACATTTTACTGTAATACAGCTAAATCGAAACATAATTTTGCGTAACAAAAACATCCCTGAATTGAACATGAGGCCAGATTTAGCAGATTTTCTAAAATCTTTTCTATTTTGTTCTACGATTCGACCTCCGCTGTTTTTTTTAAGCTCAAGTTTCACCTCACGTGTTTAAGCAACAGTTAAGATTTTGTTTTCATATCTATTCCATTATTATGTCGGAAACTGATGCTTTGTTCGGGATATTGCTGTTTTGATCAAAGGTTTTAAAACGATGCTGAAGTTGACATCTGATCAGCAGCTTCATATTCGGCACGAGACGAAAGGGCCATTTACCAAACCGAGGCAACGTTTGATTAGTTGGAGTTTCAAATCTAACACACGTAGAATGTTCAAACACGAGGCGGGTTGCATTACAATAACTATAAACGACATTAAACACAGTTTCTCATTATTTGAAAAACGTTAATTGTATTGTGAAAACACAAATGTGTAAATTCTATAACCTTTTAGCTATCAGACCACCTTTCATGGGTTCCTGCTAAAAATATCAACTAAATGTAGTTTTTTGAGGACGTCAAGTTAGCTGTGATTAGGATTGAATCATGGTGGAAACATTACATCATTCATTCAGAGATGCAGTCTCATGCTGTGAAACTGATGGCCACTAATAAGAAAAGGACCAACTCAATAATAAACTGAACTTGACCACATTGTTTAATTACCAGAATCAAATGATAATATAGCTGACTTTGAAACTGTTATAAATTAGATGCTTTCTTTTATAACGTGAATTGAGATTACATTTGTTTGACAGTTGCATTTGTCACTATATCAACAAAATAAAGAAGTTGATGTAAATAGCTTTACAGATAGAAGCTGTTTCATGGAGAAGCTGTGTTACAGAAAGGTTAAAAGTTTAGTCTTCATAAAAAAAAGAAAACAAAGATGGCTTAGATAGTTTATGTCTTGTTAACAATTAAAACAGGTTAATACCAGAAAGGTGAATTAATCACTCTAAAGAGCAAAACCTGCTGAATATGTAACGTCCATTTTGCTTCTCCACTGATCAGTGGCATTAAGTGTCATTAGACTCTATTAAAGAATAGTTCTGGGACAACAGCAAACAATATTTTATTGTTTTATTTTATTGTCAGCTTTGCTTCTGCAGTCCAGAACTTATTCTAACTTATTTTGGATGAATGCCTGGATGAAAACATGAAAACAATTCTACATTAGAATGAAGGTTGCTAAAGGTTATTAAAACAATGACAGAGCAGATTTGTGGTGTCATCAAAGCACTATCCCGACCAAAACAAATATATTCTTTCCTCATACTGTGGAATCTGAAGGTGATTTTATCTGAGTCTGTGTGGTTCCTGTTGGTAGAGTCTTATAACTGTGTTCTGACATTGTCTTTTTTTTTTTTCAGGACTATAGTTTTTTCAGTCAAAGTCAAGCTAATTTCTCTTCTCGTCAAAGAACCTGGTTAGCTAAGCGACGCGTCTATTCTACTGAGCCAAAAGGTGAGAGCTGCTGGATATGATCATCTGCTCAAATAAAAAGCTATTTCTTTTGATTTTTCTTTGAAACTTTTTGTGAAGCTATTTTATTGCTGTTATATGCAGTAATAAACCATTAGAAAAAAAGATTAGATGTGTGGGATAGGTATAGGGTAACATGTTTTATGTTTTAATAATCCTTTATTGATATTTATAGATACACTTTCTATAAATAGTATGGAATGCATTGTTTTATGTTTTCAATGTAAAGTTGTGGAAAGGGCCTGCAGATGGAAATTAGCTCCAGACCTAAAACCTGTTACACCGCATCTTTTCATATATATATTTTTTTACTAATACTCCTATATGTGGTCCTTGTCAAATAAATCACTGTAACAAACCGGGAGCAGAATGCTCATAAGTTTTCTTTAAAGGGGGAGAATTATGTAAAATTGACTTTTTTGAGCTTTGTGTTATGTTATTCCCTCATCAAAACATACCTGGAGTGTTGCCTTGATCCTTTCATGCATGTTTGATCCTTTAATCTCCCATGGCAACCATTTTGCTCCTTTAGACTAGCCAGCAGCTTTAGCAAACACCTGGTAGAACAACTCATTTGCTACTTCTCAGTGCAACACTAGAAAAAAAAGTCATTAAAGGGTTAATAGAGGAGCCATTTGTGATGATGTACTGAAGGTGAAGTTAGAGAAAAGTCGAAGTTTCTTAAAGAGACAGAGGCCCAATTTCAAGGTGTTAAAGTACAAAGTCAAATTTCTCTTAAGTCATATTTGACACATGGAACATTCTTATAATAACTAAAGTTAACATAGTTACTTGATTGTGCTGCAAAAGGGCACTATCTACCACTGCTCCTTTAATCAGGTGACAGGATGTTGAGGTCTTTTCGCACGTAGCAGTAAAAGTCACTGCTGCATGTGACTTCTACATGTTTTCCTGTTCAAACATCCCTGTATATTGCACATTTTGAAGCTACATCTCATTTAAATTATTTCAATAGAATATATATTTTTATTGCAAAATCAGTCAATGCCATTTTATAACACATGAGGTTTTGCTGTGAAATATTTGTCGGCTCTTATATTTTAGCATTGCCAATCATGGAAAGAATTGCCTCTTAGTGGTGCAATAAATCTTCTTGTCTGCATTTCAGATGGAAAAGAAGGAACACCAGCAGGAGATGGGGGAGGACGACCAGGTGGAGGAAAGAGAGGAGGTGGAGGGAAAGACTGGTGGAATCGGATGCAAAAGGTTTGTCAGAGGAAAAATAGCAGTGAAGATCCAACAATAAATTATAATATTTGTAAGGTTTACAAATAGCTTACAAAGGATAGATCATTGCAGAGTTCCTCCCTGTTGGTTAAGAGTAGCTTGAGGCTTGTATTCTACAGATGAAGTAGCACCTGCACAAGTCTTCCCTTCTGCATCTTAAAAAAAAGAAATTTTGCTTTGGAATCTAGTGAGAAAACTGTAAGATGTCAAACAATGTGTGTCTTGGGGGTTATTTATTTTTGCCCTGTGCCAGTAACGGCCTCAGATCATCTTTAGTTGGTGCTGGATTTGTGTGTTTTCAGGGCGACTTCCCCTGGGATGAGAAGGATTTCCGCTACATGATGCTCACTGTTGCTGGAGTCAGCTCGGTGCTGCTCTACTTCTACTTCCGAGACACGGGCCGAGAGATCAGCTGGAAGGACTTTGTGCACCGCTACCTGGGCAGAGGCCTGGTGGAGCGGTTGGAGGTGGTTAACAAACAGTTTGTCAGAGTCATCCTGGTACCGGGAGCGGATGCTGAGGGGGTGAGGTGATGTTAAAGTCTATTAATGGTTGTTGCAACACAGCAAAAAAATACATCAAAAATATTTCTCATCAATACCTTTGATTTAACATTGAACAGCCATCCTCTAGTTAACCTGCTTCTGTTTCAGACCGTTACATTCAGTCCTTTCTGTGTTCCTCAGAGTTATGTGTGGTTCAACATCGGCAGCGTTGATACATTTGAGAGGAATCTTGAGGCTGCACACATGGAACTAGCCCTGGAGCCGTCACACCGGACCGCGGTCATCTACAGCTCTGAGAGTGACGGGTGAACTTAACCCTTCTGTACCCAAAGAACAAAGTTTGATCTTCACTATGGAGGAAAAAATGAGAATTACAATTTATTTGGTCAATTTAAAAAACAAAAAGATGATTCATTAAGTTTGAAGAATACTGGGCTGCAGAGGTAACGCTTCACATCAGCATGTCCACCTGAAAACGTCTTTAAAAAATGGATTTTATTTCAGTTATTCCTTCCATTAGTTGAACTGAATGTCAGGTCAAAATAAATACAAGTTGTAAAACAGGCTTGTCAAACAAAATGATTGTTCTTGGTGGGTTAACATCGCTATGGAGACACAGGAAGTACATCGTTGAAAAAAATTTCAACTTCCAGATTTTCCATATTTAAATCTTAAATTTGATCAATTGTAAATTTATAAAATACATATATCAAAACATAAATTGTAGCAATTTATCACCCATCCTACTATGAACATCAGCGCTGATGGTCATAAAGGTTGGAACAACTTATTATGAAAGTAAATTCAAGATTTGTCCCATTCCATCCACATGCAAAAATATACAGAAAACTTGTTCTTTCTGGGCTTTTTGTGTGATAGAGGACAAAGTAATATGAACAACAAAGTTGCTTTATATTCTGTGTATTGGTGAGTCAGCTGAGCAATAAACAGGTCTGATGAGATTTCTGTAACATCTCTGAATGTTTTGGTCACTTGAACAGTATTATTTTTAGATTTCATATTGCTACATTGAAATGTTACGATATAGTTCAGTAGATTTTGTTTTTCTTACATCCTTACAGCTCCTTCTTGATGAGCATAATTCCTACTCTGTTGCTGATTGGCTTTCTGTTGTTCACACTCCGGCGTGGACCAATGGGAGGAGGGATTGGTGGGGGAAGGAGCCCCTTTAGCATGAGTGACTCAACAGCCAAGATGATGAAGGACAACATAGATGTCAAGTTCAAGGATGTGGCTGGCTGTGAGGAAGCTAAGCTGGAGATCTTGGAGTTTGTGAACTTCCTGAAAAACCCACAGCAGTACCAGGACCTGGGAGCCAAGATCCCCAAGGTGTGAGCAGCCAGGACTGTCAGAGGGGAAGTCCCCGTCCTCGTTCTTTAGTTGGCTAACAGTCGGTTGATGAGTGTGTTTTCGCAGGGTGCCGTTCTGTCTGGACCTCCTGGCACAGGAAAGACTCTGCTGGCCAAAGCCACAGCAGGAGAGGCCAACGTCCCCTTCATCACAGTCAATGGCTCCGAGTTCCTGGAGATGTTTGTCGGGGTCGGTCCAGCAAGGGTGAGTGGAACAGGCCCCGTTGCTGTCCAGTGCAGTGCTTCTCAGAAAATGAGAGTTGAACTAACATGGCTTCTGTGAAGGTGAGGGACATGTTGCCATGGCGAGGAAAAATGCACCATGCATCCTCTTTATAGATGAGATTGATGCTGTGGGAAAGAGAGGGAGGAAACTTTGGGGGACAGAGTGAACAGGAGAACACGTTAAACCAGCTGCTGGTTGAGATGGACGGTACAGCCACATTCTACTTTAGAGGCTGCTGCATTTTTTTTTTCTGTTTTAAAATGTTGTTTTTTTGTTTCTCAGGTTTTAACACATCTACTAATGTAGTGGTCCTTGCTGGAACCAATAGGCCGGACATCCTGGACCCGCTTTGATGAGACCAGGACGCTTTGACAGACAGATTTACATCGGTACACTCAGTCTTTCTGTTTACTGCAGCTTACAGTTTGTGTGGGATTCTGGTTAAACATCAGGCTGTTATGGAAAGCTGACATGTACCACCAGATCACTGAAAATATTCAAGGTGGTCTTCAGATTGTCTGCCTCAGAGGACATGTGTTGAAAGACCAATGTACAGATACTTGATGCAGATCACTGATGGTTTTTCCCTCCTCCTCTCAGGTCCTCCAGACATCAAAGGCAGGGCTTCCATCTTCAAAGTTCACCTGAGACCAATCAAACTGGATCCCAGTCTGGATAAGGATGCTCTAGCAAGGAAAATGGCAGCTGCCACACCAGGATTCACTGGTGTGTAACATCTACTTGATTTATGTGAAGCTTTAATTTATTGTTCTTAAGCTTTTGAATTACAGATGAAATTGAACTACTTTGCAATAGCTGTGAAGTAAATTTCTAAACGTTGGTCAAAGACTAATGTATAAAAATTGCATTCGTCAACATTATTGACAAATAGATTGATACATTCAATCCAATCTTAGATGATGCTTTGTATTTTTTTGTCAATGAATCAGGTGCTGACATTGCCAATGTGTGCAATGAAGCAGCATTGATAGCTGCCAGGCACCTGAGCCCCGCTGTCAACCCAAAGCACTTTGAGCAGGCAATCGATCGCGTCATCGGAGGTCAGTCACCAACTTTATCTGTGTTGCTAGCTTTTTTTCACATTGCCAGTGAAAACCTTGTCTTTTATGTCTTTTATCATGTAAAATAGGAAGAGCTAAGAGATGGACTGAAAAGAACATTTACTAGACAGTATATTTCATATTTATGTTTCACATTATCTGCCTGTGTTCAGGCCTGGAGAAGAAGACTCAGGTCCTGCAGCCGACAGAGAAGAAGACAGTAGCATATCATGAAGCCGGCCACGCCATCGTGGGCTGGTTTCTGCAGCATGCCGACCCGCTGCTCAAAGTATGGAGTCTGAACACGGCACAGTCACATCATGGCATCAAAATCAACTTCAAATTGTATACCAATATTAAATGAAGGCTGAGGAGTTTGTCATGAGTTTCTATTCAGAGTAAGCACACTGTTATAGACACCAAACTGAGCCTTTGCTCAATAATTAACTAGAAAGAAAATAAAACCATCAGAATCATCATCCAGCAATGCAAGGGTGATGCTGTTCTTCTTGTCATTAGAAAATCAGTTTTTCTGTGTCGCCATGCTGGAAAGCACTTAAAATGGATGCTATGGCTAGAAAAGTAGCGCACAAATTCAGCCTGTTTACCATTCGGTCTACTTCTATAAAGTTACTAGCAGAACATCTGATGGACTACTTGCTGCATGTAAGACCGTATGCTTTGGTTTCAACACACGTACACAGAACACTGGGTCTTAGAAAGAATGGGATTTATTTGTATGGGTCACAGAAGAACTCTTCAAACTATTAGCGTCCAAATAAACAGACAGGAGTAAACATAAACCACCCCAAAACTTCATTTCATGCTAAAAAGCAGGAGCTGGTATTGGTCCTTGTTGAGCTCTTTTAAGAGATTCACCAAGTTTTTTATTTTGCAAGTCCAGGTCTGGAAACCAAGGTATTATCTTGGTATTCTGCTAGAAATGGCTGCACCTGATCATCAGCTAATAGTTTTTAGTAGTCATGTCAAGTTTTATATTTGGGAATATAAAATCATATTTTATATTTCCAGATATGAAATATGCCTTCTGGACAGCAACAGTTGGACACATGTAATTCAGGAACAGAACCAGTGAAGGAGGAATTTGTTCTCTCTATGAAGTAGAGCTGGAGGTTTTACCGTGCTTACACCCAAGGGGCAAAAATATCTGGGTTAGTTTTTCCATGGTGGAGCAGATGTATCCAAATTCAAAGGCCTAGTTTCACATGAAAAGCTTTTACTTTGCACAGAGGATTGTCATGAATCCCTTGTGTAGTTTTGCAAACGTTGGTGTTGAGCACATGTGTGTGTTGTAGGTCTGTGTGTAGATAGAGGATCTTCACAATATTCCAAGACAAAACAATTGATAGTGCCTCATGTAACTGCACAGTTGCTCCTACTGCAATGTATTTAAAGAGCCTTGTCTTGTTTTCAGGTGTCCATCATTCACGGGGGAAGGGTTTGGGTTATGCTCAGTACCTGCCCAGAGAGCAGTACCTCTACACCAAAGAACAGCTGTTTGACAGAATGTGCATGATGCTGGGAGGGCGTGTGGCCGAGCAGGTCTTCTTTGGACGAATAACCACAGGAGCTCAGGATGACTTGAAGAAGGTCACACAGTCGGCCTATGCGCAGGTACACACACACACACACACACACACACACACCCACACACACACCCACACACACACACACACACACACACACACACCACACCACACACACCCACACACACACACACACACACACACACACACCCTTGCAGGGTACAAGTAATATGGAGGAAGGGGACTCTGTTGAGTTGTGACACTTCTCTCTGTTTGCTGATGTTCAGGTGGTGCAGTTTGGGATGAGTGACAAGGTCGGGCAGGTGTCGTTTGACCTTCCCCGGCAAGGTGAGATGGTACTGGAGAAGCCTTACAGTGAGGCGACAGCTGAACTCATTGATGAGGAGGTCAGAGGACTGGTGGACCGAGCGTATGACCGCACCCTGCAGCTGATCACCGACAAGAAGGACCTAGTGGACAAGGTGAGATGTTTATCAGGTGGCACAGGAGGGAGGTCAGTATTGTTCCCTACGTTTAAAGAGGTAGGGACATAGTTTCATATTGTAGCTGTCAAGTTACTGTGTTAACTTCAGTTGTTAAGCACATGCTGTATGTATCAAACATAACTTAGAAGAAATTTGACACCTTGAAATTGGGCCTTTGTCTCTTTAAAAAGCTGACATTCTTCCTGATATTGCAGCTTCATCATGTTGTCACAATAAAGCTCCTTCATAATTCTCTTTACAACTGTTCTGAGTATTTGACTGACATGTAAGTCATAAGATGAGCTCGACAAACAAAATTACAGTAGGTGTTTGTTAATTGCTGCTGCTAGTCTGGAGGAGTTGATTAGGGTTAGGGTTAGACAGGTGCTCTGTGAGGGACAGTAAAGCCTGGTGGGTTGCAAGGCTTATAGTACACTCGGCACCCTGGAATAACTACCAGCTGTTTAAAGACGTTGGAAAGCTTTAGAATTTTTACACTGAAGGGATTCTAATGCTCAGAAAGATAGTGTTGGTTTGCTCTTAGCTGGTTTGATTTTGAATATATGTTAGTGAACAGTTCTAAGTGAGGCTGAACCACTGGGTTTAAATGTTCCCATTTCCTGATTGTATCAATGCTGCTACTCAGTGTAGACGTTTGTGGGTTGGACTGATACAGAGATTTACAGAGGTTGTCTTTGTCGTCGTGCTGAACCCACCTGTGGATTCCCACAGGTGGGTTGGTGTAATTTATTTGAGCTTTTTTGTTTATCCTTGGTGTCATCCTCAGGTAGGGAAGCGTTTGCTCGAGAAGGAGGTGCTAGACAAAGCAGACATGGTGGAGCTGCTGGGTCCTCGGCCATTCAAGGAGAAGTCAACCTACGAGGAGTTTGTAGAGGGGACAGGGAGCTTCGAGGAAGACACAAGCCTTCCAGATGGCCTCAGGGACTGGAACCAGCAGAGAGGAGGGGAGTCGGAGGAGACAGATCCAACCCAGGACAGGCAGCAGGCGGTGTAAGATCTGAGGAATCTGGAGAAACTCATCCAGCTGGACAGAAATACATGAAGCTGCTGACTCTGAGTTTTGGTGCTTTATCAGAGGGCTGTGCTGCAGCTAACAGTCAACTATTTTCTTCAGAGGAATGATCTTTACAGAGCCACAAGATTTCCCGGCTCTAGAGCCTGCAACATTTAACTACATTGGGACAGAACAGAGTGAACATAATGCTTTCTTTATTTCTTTTACAAAATGTCCTTCCTCCTGATAATGAGGAAGAAATACTCGACTCGAGGAATATTTATGTGGCCAAACAAGGCTGATATGTTTTTAGAAACGAATCGGATGTTTTTTCATCAACCTGGTACAACTCGTCTCAACGTCCTGCTTCACAACAACACAGCAATTTTCATTTGTATTTTACCTGAGCTTGGACTTATCATAAAGATATTTTAATGATATAAACTGTGCGATCACAGGTGCCTGTAGATTTTACATTCAGGTAGAACAGTCACATCACATTCTGCTCAGTAGATGAAACTTGCTTTATTCTGTGTTGTCTGTAGTTTCAGTGGTTTTCAAGGTGTAAAGGAACTTTGTTAACTTGTTTTGGTTAATAAGGTTAACCAGAACTTAATCTTGTTGTGGTCAAGTTTAGTCTTTCTATCTTGAGCATCTTTAATGTCATCTTCAACTTTTAAATGCGATTGTGTTAAAGATGCCTGGATGCGGTTGGAAATGCAAAAGTTTCCTCACCTTGTTGCGACACATTCAACACATTCAGAGATGACATGTTTTTGTAGCATCTCAGATACAGTCACATTCTCACACTATGGCTGACTTTAACAAGGGTGGGAATCAGACTTGTGCTTTTGAGTTACTGCAGCTGGAAAAAATCTCTTGATCTTGAGGAGTTTAATTCTGTAGATTTATTTGTACAGTAATGCTTGAAAGTTTGAACCACCCAAACATGGTCATTGTTTTTCGAAAGAAAAATCATGTGAAATTATCATCCAAATCTCAAATTGTAAAGCAGACCTTGCAAGAAAGATACATATTTTCATTATTTATTCAACAAAAGTATTTTATCTGTCAAAAACAGATACCTATTGGCCATTTGTAAATGATTTGTCTTACAGTGGATGGACGAAGATGGAATCTTTTAGAGATGGTTTCGTAGCTTTCCCCAGACTGATGAGCTGTCACTACCTTCGTCCTGATGTCCTCAGATGTCTCCTTTCCTCTCGGCATTGTCAATCTGTTCTTTATGCAGATTGACAATGCTAACCAACAGTGGTTTGGTTAGTTTTCCTCTTGCGTCTCAAAACGTTTCCCAATGATGTCTCATTTGATTGGTCTGCTCAGATTACTTGAGCACTCACATGTGTTTCACCTGAGCCTTTTAGCTAATTGACCTTACCAGTTCAGCTGTGGTTCAATTACTTTAGTAGATGCTCTGATTCCAGGTTTTTGAAACATGTTTAAAGTGCACTGTCATGGCAACAGATCCAACATCTGGGTCATTCCTTAGACACTGGGAGTAAAGGACGCGTCCAAACCGTGAAATTCACAAAAATTCTTGATCTATAAAAAATGCAATTACAAAGACGACAATAAATCAGTTTTACAAGTCCTTTTTCCTTTGTTCCAAAAAAACCCCAGAACTTATACAGTTAAAAACTGTATCAGGCTTTTCTAGGTAAAACTTATCTAAGCAATCTGTCGATATATGGCCCTACAGGAAGTAAGCCTTTCAAAATAAAACTAAATTTAACAATAAAAGTGGCCTGAACAAATATCAGTCTTCTTAACTAAATATGATTTAAAAAATCATACAAATAACTTAAATATGTACTATTTATGGCTTTAACATGCACCTTTATTTTCAAAAGATTTTTTCTTACGATGTAAATCTCAAGGCATATACAACATTACTGTATGAAAAGGCTACAAGAATGCTACATCTGAGTACAATGGCAACACACTCGCACGCTGAAGCTGCACTTCTTAAACCTGACCAGCAGGAGGCAACAACTTCCCTGGTATCAAGTCAGCTCAGGAGAGTTGGCTGCTGTTTCTGCTTCTAAATATTTTTGACTACTTATTTCAAAATATTCTAAATTGAATTAAACAAAAAATATTATGGATAAAGAAAAAAAACGTAATTATCCTACACACCGGTAGCAAAAAACAAAACACACAATGCTTATTTAAAACTGACTACAGCAGAAAAATGCTTGGTGTTTTCTTGTCTTCTGGTGGTTTGATGGGTTTTTTCCTGGTTTATTTCCACTGGAGGACCACTGAGAAAAGCAGAGATGCAGCAAAAAGACAAAGGGACACGAAGATGGTAGATGCTCCTCCACAGTCCTTAGCATCCTCCTGGTGCACCAATCACACATTTTGTTAAAAATATTTGCTAAAACATACCAAGATTTTACCTACATAGTTGCTCAGCACTTAAAAATATAATCCTACAACAAAATTAACATGTTCATTTTCAGCGCTGACCTTTGGGTGGTAGGAGTGACAGGACTCTGGACGCCTTCGCACCTTCTGAGATTTCATCCTGTTGCACTTCACAGTTGCATTATGTTTATAGATATTAAGAAAAGCTTTGCACACACAGGGCCAGTGCTGACTAGATCTCAAGGCAAAGGCAGCTACTGACAAGACGATATCAGAGATTTCTCTCTTATTTATTTATTTTTTACTTTTTCAAAGGCCAGAACAGAACCTACATATGCATTTAGTTGGGAGCCATTTTGTTGAACAGCAGAAGGATATATTTAATTTCCTTTGGCTGCAGCAGGATGGGTCCAAACTGACGGGAGCAGTCACAGGTGGCTTGTGTCACAACCAGAACCAAGTTACTGTCAGGGACCTGCTGCACCACAAACATCCTGAAACATAAACAATGATGCCAAGTGAATTTAAAGCAACAAAGACCACAGTCAAGGCATTAAATTACAAAGCCACATTTCTTTTAAATCATATTTGATACATATATTATTCTTATAAAAACTGATAACACCATAGTAACTTGATTGTGCTATACAATAGCACACTGTATCTGGAAAATAGGTACTACTCCTTAAAAGCTGCTTCTTTTATTAGTATCATCTATATGCCACAAACCTTAATCGCCTTTATGTTGATTAAGATTAATAGGAGGCTGAAATGAATATCTGGATCATATATTGAATAAAGGTCTATTTCATTGCTTTTAAGGAATTTAATTTTTTGTATTTGAATGAAGTTATATCAGATTTCTTAAAAGCTTGAACAGTAATTGAATGCAAACTTCAGAAATTCAAAATCGGTGATGTTGATAAGGGAACAAAACAACGAGGCGTTTTAGTTTTAAGCATATCTTTTTTTAACAAAGTGATTTTAATTATGTGTTTTACAGTTTAATAAACCATAGAAGAAATAATATTATTAAAAAATATGTCACCTAGAAATGTTTGAACAGAGATGAGTAGAAGAAAAAAAAAAACTAAAGCTGATTATTATCCCACAATGCAGCCTCACTAAAGCCTGGACTAAGTGAAAAACCCAGCCATAATAATAATTCACAATTCAGTGGATTTCCCTTCAAAACTGTGTTGACAGACAATACATTGAACATCTGCATAAGCAAGATTTATCAATAAAACCGTTAGCTCCTTTGAAAAAGCATTTCTGCAATAAACTAGCAAAGTTGAACTGCCTCCAAGTCCTTTATGGCCAGTAATAAATCAAGTGAAGATGGCAATATGCTGCAAAAAAAATAAATCCTGAATTGTAAAATACCACAATTCCACAACACCTGCTATGAATGCAGGTGTTGTGCTGTATCAACAGCAGCATACGTAATATCTGAAGGCTCTCATACCATAACTCTATGTTACACTCTTATGATAATTTGTCTTCATTGTAGATTTGTTCTTGGATTCTTGGAGCCATTTTGCTCCAAGAAAATGGCTTCACAACTGTCGTCCCCTGAAGTTCCAAATATTTAGAAATGGCTTTTCAAAGTCTGTTATTTTGTTTTTCATTTATTCTTAAATGTCACTAGATCAGCCTACTTCAGATGGGATCTATTTCAATAGTTCTTGATTGTACAAGTAACCCTGTGTGTGTGTGTGTGTGTGTGTGTGTGTGTGTGTGTGTGTGTGTGTGTGTGTGTGTGTGTGTGTGTGTGTGTGTGTGTGTGTTTTAACATCCTTACTTCTGACAGCGTCCACACTTAATGAGACTGTTGGCCTCCCTGACCGATGAGTCATACATGAAGCCGGGGTATGCAGTGTCACAGGGCTGCAGCGCATCCACTTTCTTTTGCTTATGAGCTGAAAATACAAAAGCACAACATGCAAAAGTTTACATTCCTGATCAGTTCAGATGAGATGGATTTAAAACAAGATTTTCTTCGTAGTTGTCCTAATACCACCACACACTCGGTCATGTTGTACTCACATGTGTGATAGCCAGCTTTGGCTGAATGCATGGAGAATGGTAGTGACCACACAGAGTGAGAAGATGGTGTTGGAAATGATGATGATGATGATGATGATGATGATGATGATGATGATGATGATGATGAAAATGAAACAGCGTGTTGCATTTGAAAATGAGAGATAAAGCTGTCAAATGACGAAACGTAGAGCAAAAATATCACATCCAGACATCATAATTATCACTCACAGTTTCAGAATGAGTTGGGTTTCTGGACAAAAAGAACTAATGAATGAAGCAGCACCTGTCATTAACTATGAACACTCTATTGAAATGATTCCAGAAGCAACAGATGAGCCTAACTGTACTGTAGCAAGACAACAAACAGCTGCTCACTCAGTCTCCTCCATATCTTACCGCGCCCCCATCGAGCATGGGGAAAAAAAAACTTTTTTATGCATTCCCTTGCAAAAGAAAATTTTGCAGGACCTATTGTGTTACGCTAAATAAGTTTTGAATTTTGTATACAGTCATAAATGTCAATTCAAAATTTCAAGTACGACATACATATAAAAGAGACTCAGTGAACACGATATATTTTTAACTCTTTGGTGCAAAAAAACTGAAAACTGATTTATTCATTGCATGTTTACAAAACAAGGTTAAAATGACTTAACTTCATGAATGTTGT